CACTACACTACACTACACTACACTACACTACACTACACTACACTACAAGAATACAAGAATACAAGATATTTATTCACTGAAAAATGTAGTTTACAATGGTGTTATAGTATATAGTATATATATTAGATCGTACATTTCACCAAAACTTGGCATGCGAATATTTTACACAATTCTTATTACAATCACGCACAGTGGTTAAATTTTACATTTTATGTTATCTATTAAAAAATCATTTATATTGTAGTAGCATTGTGTAACTAACAAATTATGTAATTTTATTTTAAATTGCCTACAATTTAGTTCTTTAACTTCATGTGGTATTTTATTAAATAATTTAGGTGCCAATATAAACATCGTTCTATTGTAAAATTCCAAGGTGGGGCGTTGTTTTGGCCGTATTTCTATTTTGTTCCTTGTTTTCCTGGGATGTCTGGTTTTCACTAGATTAAAGTTGCCTGGATTTTGTTTTATATAAACACAGGCCTCGTAAATATACATAGATGGTAGGGTTAAAATCTTTAGTTTTCTAAAATAGGGTACACATCTTTCTCGCTGGCCCACACCAAACATGGCCCTAACACATTTCTTCTGGATTTTAAACAGTGGTGTAATATGTGTTGCAGCAGCGTTCCCTCAAAGCAGCAGATCATATCGCAAACTAGAGGCTACATAGGCGTGATAAACACAAAGAGCAGTTTTTTGTGACGTTATTCTCGTCAGATTTTTCAGGACGTATACGTATTTACTAAGTTTAGTATTTAACTTATTTATATGTGACTTCCAGCTCAAGTGATTATCAAGAGTAAGGCCCAAGAAATTTGTTTCACCAACTTGAGCTACATTTTGTGCATTGTAGGTTGTACTTAAATTTTTTTAATTTTTTTTTCTGTGTTACTGTATATTTAGAACAATTATAAGTGCAGTTACATTACCGTAAATTATAAAATTAATTACTTATCGGTAGTACAAAACCAAATTTTAGACGGTGATTTTTAGTGACACTTGTCTTGCTCGGACATTCAACCTATGCCTTTCACTTTTTGCATAGCGAACATAGTGCGTGGTGAACTTAACGCTTATTTCGTCAAGTTCTATACGAGCATCGCGGCGTATTTGTTTTGGCCAAGGTACACTAAACTGTGTCAGCTTGGGTGTTGCGGATTCGAATCCTGTCGGACAAGAAAGACATAAAAAAAAATCTATACTTATATATATATATATATATATATATATATATATATGTATTATTTATTTCATTTTTTAATTATTTTCTTTTCTTTTTCATTTTATTATATCATACATTGAAATATGGCCAACGAAAGAAAATGTGGTGGTTGCTATAATTTAATAAAAAGTAGGCAATACTTGCAATGTTCCCTGTGTCACCATGACTATGATTTGCAATGTGCAAATGTGTCAGAGAAACGTTATCTGAACACCCTGACTGGTGCGCATAAACTGTCGTGGAAGTGCATAACCTGCGTGAGTAAAGTGCCCAAAAAAGACAATACCAATACACCGGTACGGGGCCCTGCGTGTCATATGACGGTGACCCGCGGAGCGGCTGCGCCGAGCCCGCCGAGCCCACGGGAGGAGATTAGTGTGCGGGACGAGTCTCTGGATGAGTCGAGAGACGTACCGTTTGAGCTCACTGGGTTTGGTGTGGAGAAGTCTTTCCGAGTTCTCGTAGAGGAAGTGCGCCTTTCCGGCAAGAAATGACGGCTATTCGTACCCAGATGTGGCAGCTAAATGAGACTATGCAATCCCTCACATCGAGACGGGGTGCTTGCGAGAACCGCATTGATGGTCTGGCTGAACGCGTGGCAGTTTTGGAGGTCCGCGGCGGGGGTGGAGAGGGCTCTGATACTGGTTCCCTTCAGTCCACGATTAACCAACTTCGGGCAGAGCTCAATGATCGGGACCCAGATCTCCTCTCTAACGACTTAGAAATTTCTTGTGTCCCAAAGGAAAAAGGGGAGAGCGTGACGCACATCGTAATGACCCTCGCCGGCAAACTGGGTGTGCGTTTAGTGGAGCAGGAGCTAGTGAGTGCGACGCGTGTGGGGCGCGCGCCTGGCGAGGAGACCCCGGTAGGCGAGAAGCCGCGCCCGAGACCCATCGTGGTGCGCTTGGCCTGGAGGGCCCTGCGCGACCAGCTGCTTCGTGAGGCGCGCGTCCGCCGCGGGGCCACCACCGAAGGCGCGGGTCTTCCGGGCGCGCCGCGCCGTTTCTATGTCAACGAGCGGCTCACTCGCGCAAACCGGCAGCTCTTCCGCCAGGCGCGCCAGCTTGGCAAGGAACGCAACTGGCGGTACGTCTGGACGCGGGATGGCGGGATTTTCGCGCGGCAGCATCACGGCAGAGAGTCCCCCCGACACCGCGTGCGCATCGAAGACGACCTCACGCGTGTTTTTGGCTCCGGAACCTTTGGTGCCTAGACGTAAACGTATAGCAATTAAACACAAATATGCCTGTGTCAATACATTGAACTGGGTTAGGAACTTAATATTACGTTTACAAATATTTTTCTCATACGAGTGTTTTGTCAGCATTTACTTCATTATTTTTGACATAAAAGGCCGGCTATCTAGTTTTCGTTTTCCCCTATGTATTACGTATCTATGTAAAACAAAAGACAAATTGATTTATATTCAAATACTACATTCTTTTTACCGGCTTGTCTTTTATAATTATTGTTTATTTTATTTTATTGAATCCAAATTGTCTTTTTACTTCTTGTTAATACTTTCTTATAATCTTCAGTATATTTTATGTATTTCTTGTCCGCATTTATATATCATTGCGGTCTGTATGCAATACTTGTACATATTAATGACTTCAGTTTCCAACAAATGTACATACACCCAAACATTATTTACATTATATATCTACTATCTACATCATATTTATAAACACAATCATTATCAACAGGCATCTTACGTGTAGAACATTTACAAAAGAGTTAACTTGCAAAATAGGTGCGAACATTTTGGACAGACGTGCATTTGCAACGGAATAGGGTTATTATGGATGATATTATTATGCTATCTCACAATCACTGGACGGGCTTACTTTTATTTCATTATTATATACAAATTACTATTAATAATTGCTTATTTCAATTTAATTTATTCATATCTAAATGAAGTAATATATTTGATAATAAATACTATTCCCATTACCATTAACATTACATTTCCATTTGCAAAATTATTCGCGCGGCTATATATGCCTTCGTTCTTACTTCTTCATTAAAAATGATTAAAACGAAGAACTTAAAAATTAGTCTCCTTAATGCTGGGTCATTGGGAACAAGGCATGATGAGTTTCTGGTGGCCCTGGTTCGCATATCTCCCGACATACTTGCCATCAATGAAACGTGGCTCCGAACTGGTGAAGAGGGTCGTGCGCCCGCGCCACCGGGATACCGGCTTCGGCATGCCCCACGCCCGCCAACTATCGAACGTGAGCGTGGCGGTGGTGTTGGGTTTTATGTTAGGCAGAGTGTCGCTGTATGTATTGTTCCGCATCCTGTATCACATGTGGATCAAATGTGGATCTGTTTGACTGCGTGCTCGACGCGTGTCCTTATAGGGACTGCTTACCGTCCACCCTGGCTTAATACTGAAACGTTTTTTGATGCACTAACGGACTCGCTATCTTCTTTCAATAATTTCGACCGAGTCATTCTGTTAGGCGATTTTAACATAGATTTAAACCATTGACTTACAAATAAATGGACGACGGGTCTAATACAAAAACCACGAAAAAAATGTCCCAAGTCAACCTATTCGAAATTTAAATTGTAATGTCATCACAGTATCGCGCTGTCAGTAGAACAAATGAAGACTAAAGCGGAGTGTCGCGCTCTGTATACGACCTTACAAGTGCGGACACTTTTTAGCGCGGACCCGACGTCCATATAATTGTAAGTCAATGATTTAAACGATAAAAAATACAGCAAATATAAGCAGCTTAATGATTTTTTGCACTATTTTAATTTGGTAAACTATGTTACAAAATCTACTCATTTTACCACACATAGTGAGACCATAATTGACCTACTCTGCACTGATACTACCGTTTTAAAAATCGACGTAGAACGCATTCAGGATCTGGGAGCCCATGGTCTCATTACAGCCTGTTTTAAAATAAAGAGAAACAAAATCCCTCGTAAAACAATAACTTATAGACTAGGGAGAGGTATCGTCTGACTGGCATAGTGGAGCACGATAATTATTACAGAGAGTTAAAAAATAATGTTAACATTTGCCTTTTTGCTGAGCGAAAAGCCTATTTTGAGCAATTTGTGAACAAAAATATTAAAATGCCTAAAGTTATCTGGAGGAACCTAAAAAACACAGTTCTACCTAATTCCAAAACCTACCAAGAGCTGCCACAACATCTTCTTGACCCACAAAAAATCAACTCGCATTTCATGAATGTACCAGGTACAAATAATGTTGTATCATCTGATATTTTCTACTTTAAATCCCATAGACATGGTTCTTCTGTATTTCATATAGAACCAGTCACGGAGAATACAGTGAGTAAGGTCATTCTTAGTATTAAGTCCAATGCTCAAGGAGCTGACCGCCTCAGTAGGGATATGCTATTGCTCACATTGCCTCACTCTCTGCCAATTATCACTTGCATGATCAATAAATCCATTGTTACTGGCAAATTCCCGGCTGCATGGAAAACTGCCCTCGTAAAACCAATCCCTAAAGTTGCTAACCCTAGCGAATTAAAAGATTTACGCCCCATTATTCTACTTCCCTATCTATCAAAAATTATGGAAAACATTGTTTTTGATCAACTTTCAAAATATTGTGAATCTCATGACATCTTACCTGAATTACAGTCTGGTTTTAGAAAGGGACGTAGTACGGCGAAGGCATTGCTTGATGTTGTTGACAACATACTCTCTAATCAAGATAAAGGCAAAGCAACTATCCTCCTTTTACTGGACTACTCAAGGGCATTTGATTGCATTGATCACCAACTTCTTCTTTCCAAAATGGCGTTCTACGGGTATGATGATACTACAATAGCATGGTTTGGCTCGTATTTGGGGGATCGTGCGCAACGTGTTGAGATCTGTGCTACTGACGGTTCTACCTTAGTTTCGCAGGAGGCGCGTGTAAGTAGAGGAGTGCCTCAGGGATCTATATTGGGTCCTCTTCTGTTTATACTCTATACCTCCGATATAACAAGTTCTATCAAACACTCTCAGTATCACTTATACGCAGATGATCTTCAGGTTTATATACCGTAGGTACCCATGATTTCAGCGAGACAATTAAAGCACTGAATGAAGATCTTGCGAATATCGTAGCGTGGTCTTCGAGAAATTGTTTGGTGCTTAATCCTCAAAAAACAAAATACATCGTTTTGGGCTCGTGTAAATAAATTGCAAGGATTGTTGATCTAAATCCCACTATAAATATATCAGGTGTAAATATTGAACGGGTGGAGGAGGCTCGTAATTTGGGTATTTTGATGGATGGTGGGCTGCGTTTCCAAGATTATTTGAGACGGTGCGTAACTGCTTTTATCGTCTTTAAGTATTATACAGAATTCGAGATTTAATAAATTTGGATTTGAGGGTGATGCTTTGTGATGCACTAGTACTATCTAAACTAAATTACTGCGTCGCCGTGTATGGGTCCTGCGTTACAAAAAAATCCCAAAAATTGATTCAGCGTGTGCAAAATGCCTGTGCAAGATACTGTTTTAGAATACCACCACGTACCCATGTCGCGCCATATCTTCAATCTTTTAAAGTTCTAAGCATGAGCGAACGTCAAAAACTATACACTGCGACTCTGCTTTGGAATTTGGAATCATAAAGAACCAAGTACCATCTTACCTTTATAAAAAACTATAATGGCGTTCAAATAGACAAGTCATGCCGTTTAGAACGTGCATCCCGCCGCTCATTGTTCCCACCCATAAAACGGCTGCTTTCCGTGGTTGTTTCAAATACAATGCGACCAAAATATGGAATGACATACCACCCCCCATTAGAAATCTTACCTCAATCTACTCTTTTAAATTTTCATTAAAAAAATATATTTTACAAAATAATTTCGCGAGTATTTGAAACAGACGCCATAAGTTTAAATGAAATAAAATCAAATAAAATAAATAAATAAAAAATGAAATATGTTATGTTATTTTAAATAAAGTTATAAAAATGAAATTAATATGGTAGGCCGTATCTAGTATTGTCAGCGACCGTAGTTAGCGAATACATCTGCGGTAGTGCATATAGTTGTCACATTAGATTGTGTTCCGTTTTGTTATTTTTTGGATGACGGTAGAATTTTATTTGTTTGTTTTTATTTGTTTTTTTATATGTGTATGTGTGTTATGCATGTGTATAAGTATATATTATTTTGTATTATATTATATTTCATATACAGTTAATATCATAATTATAATTATATTCTTACACACTGACACAGTTTCAATTCGTTAATATAAATCTTCTCTTTACCGGCTCATTTAGGACCTAGCAGAATCACCAGCGTCGTAGTTCTACTGAGCTGCGACATAATGCTGAGTTGGGTCCTTTTTGCTGACACAGTACACGCAAATCACACTCCACACAATATAACACTCTACATCAAGTATAGACTAGTTTGTTTTTCTTTATTATTATTATTTAATTCTACTATTGTACCATTGTTGTAAGTTTGTTTTGTAATGTACCGTGTTTCTGCAAATAAACGAATTATCTATCTATCTATCTATATATTTTGTCTAATAGTAATTTATGTGACACAAAGTCAAATGCTTTCGTCATGTCCATGAAGATTGTAGATACTGCTTGCCTTTTATTGATACTATCCGATACAGTTGTTAGTAAATCAATTATTACATGATTTGTAGATGTATTTTTCTGGAAGCCATACTGTTCTGGTTTTAATGTTCCAGATTTTTCTAAAAATCCATAAATTATTCGTAATATTATTCGTAATATTAATCCATTATAAATTATTCGTTCCAATATTTTTGATAGCACTGGTAGTAAACCAATGGGACGGTAGTTGTCACATATTTCCTTATTCCCTTTTTTAAATAAAGGCTTGATAACAGTAGTTTTTAGTTTCTCAGGAAAAATGCCCTGGGACAGGCATAAATTAAATATGTAACATAAAGGACTCCATAATTCTTTTGAGCAAAATTTGATAACCTTGCTTGAGATACCATCATATCACACGCTATTTGTATTTTTCATGTTTCAGATTATTTTTATTATGCACTGGTTGGTGTTAAATATATGGAGTTTCTTGATGTTTGTATCTTGTAGTCGTATCTATGGTCTGCATTACTACCATCGTGTTTTATCAAATCCACAAATGAATCATTAAATAAGTTACCTATGTCCTTAGGTTTGTACACATATATTTTATTCTTATGGAATATTTTT